ACTTGGACGTTCAAGTTGCAGCAATCTTTCCCAGTTTCACATCAACACGAGCTGTATTGTACCTCTTATTGCTGGCATCGTCACGGCGAAAATGCATTCTTGCAAATACTTCAAGCCAACAATGAGTCTTTTTCAAGATCCACTGGTAGCCTCTAAAACCTACTCAAAACAAATGCAAGAGTGGTTTTCTGAACCTCCTTCGGTTTGCCATTAACACAAGATTGAACGTCGACTCAACTTAACGCCCACTCTGAAGGCGAACAATAAGCAATAACCACCTTCCTCCAATGTTACGCTCAGCAGTCCATAAATGTCATGGTGACTAGATTTTTCATTTCTCAGTAAAATTCGGCTGGAAGGGAGCCATGACATGGCCTCACTGTCCTGCAGTGCCGACTATTTCATCCTTGCCTCACCGTCCTGCGATCCCGACGCATCCGCGCTAAACTTTCCTCTGTCATGTGACGCACATGCTTCAGTGTGAGAAAACATCATTTGCGATATCAACGCCCAAATACATTTTGCTCCTACTGAGACATCCCATGAGTTGGCTGGCAATTTCCTGTCTACAATACACTCTTGTGGATGCATGAACAGGAAGTGGAAGCCGATGATGGCCCCGAGGATATGGATCTTGCCTGGCGCTTCTTTCAAGCGGTCTGGCTCAGACGGCCGTCGGTCTCCAGACTCCGAGTTCCAAAACAGACTTCTACAAAGCATGCGGATAGGATCGGGTGACTCGCAGAAATCAGTGCTCTGCTCCCGCAGGCATCGTCCACTTCACTTCTCTCCTACATCGGCGGGCTCGCTTAAGGCGATTGCTGATGTACCGGTGTGTCACTCTGGCCCACATACCGGCCGGCCCTACGTCTGACTCACTTGGCCAGCAAGTCAGCCGATGAACACTCGTCCGACCGGTCTACCGGACACCGAGGCAACTGCTAAAACATCTACAAGGGCCGATTGCATCAGTCGATTTCGTCTACTGGTAGAATCGGGACCTATTTATAAAACGAGAATAAGTCGGTTCTTTATTGTCTCGACCTGTGTTGTGTGAAAGCTATGACCACGACTAGAATGGTCGAATGAAGTGCTGTGTTTTGTAAAGAGGAGACAAAGACAAGGCCTAGACGAGACGTAACTGACCGAGCGAACGTAGACAATTCATTTCGAAGGAAACGTTGGCTGGAAGTAACTCGTGAATTGATCTGACCGGAAACGGAAAAAGAGGATTCGATTGTGTCAAGAAGTCTTCTGCTCATCCTCCTACAACTTCAATCAATACGTGCTAGGGTTTCGTCTGTACCGCTGCGGCAGACATTGTCATAACACGAAAGCAAACTACTGTATTCGTTAAGTTTTGCATAAAGTAATGTTAGTTGTTTTAACGATGTCTGTCACATGACAGACGAAAGCTTAGCACGGACTCATCTTAGTCGTGGGGCGTTGAATCCAACTGTCTTTACTCCACTCCTTCTTACCTTCTCCATGAGTGCAATTCACGAATTCTGTCCTACCAACTTTTCATTCGGGATGACAAGTCATGTCACAATAAATATTTAAGGAATTCTACGAAACCCACTCCTTCTTCATAGAGGATTGAACTGATGGGTGAGCTGATTGATGCACGGATGACGGTCCGGATCCAGAAGAGGATAAGTAGTCAGTCCGATGCCTGTAAGAAAATCTTTTTATATTTTCTCTTAAGCAAAAATGGAAAAAAGAAAAATTAGTATTCATTCTTATTAAGTCGCTAAAGGTGATTTAAGTCCACAATCACATGAGCAGACCTCACAATGCCATTTTTTCCATAAACCTTTCCTATTCATCTGAGTGTGAGAAAAAGTCTACAATCACTTCTTAAAACAATTTAAGCTTTCAAGAGTGACTAAGTTATCATTAAAGAAGCACTGAGCGTTTCTTAGCCCGCGCGCGAACACACAAAAGGTAGGTAACGTCGCCGATTGTAATGGAAAATGTTTAAGAATTGTTGTCACTCAAGGTGGCCTAAGTTTGAAGTTTCCCACAATGATATGCATAGGCCTGAATTTTCCTCTTTATTTTATTTGGTATTATTTCTTAAGACGTGTTCCCATCCAGACTAGACTGAACTGCCGTTTCGACCTCGCCTGGACCTCATCACCTCCCAACAGGAATGGAATTCGGATAGACCACTTTGCAATTTCGACATGTCACAATCACATTACCACTTTTGCCATATGATTGTGGGAATATGCCACTATCGGTTGGTCTTTCATCACACGCGTCCTATGGCGAATAGATAATCTCGAATCCTACTTCCTATCGAGATTGGGAATCCAGTTCACCTCAAGCGACAATCCCACTGCACAGTGTATTTAAGGATGGCATAGCTTGACTTGAAAGTCACATCGGCCTATGACCCACAGGCACCCATGACGGTACAACGGAGTGGACCCATGCTACCTTGATGCCCAAGACTCAGTTTCGAGTTCCGTTGGAGGCGATGGCGAGACGATGAGGCGGGTCCAAAACTGCAATCCAGCATGCATGACAAAGTAATTCCATGATACCATGCGGATTATTCATGTCACGGTAGGAAAAAATCCCCTACATCGCCTAGCCTGGCAAGATTCTTATCCAGAAATTATGGATATTGCGAAACGTTCTTACTCTTAATATTGTATTAATCTAATCGCAACAATTGGGGATCAGCTGAACTGCAAGAAACATTGTAGATGCTATGGCGGTTCAGACCATGGGGCTAAAGTTGTCCAGGATGTAGCGAGGGGAGGGCTGGATCTGTGCTGTTCTAGAACAGGTCATACAACCAACATCAGCGGGACTTAAAGTCATTCTGAAGGTGGTCACAGACAAGCAAAATACAAATATATGAGATAAATTCACCCAATTTCATTTAACGTGATGAAGTTCTGGTAGTAGAATTTTCCCACCCTGGATGAGAACACCTTTTGTGAAAGCAAGGCAATGTGAAATTGAATGGAAACGTCAGCTCTACTCATATCATTGTGGGAGAATTCTACTACCAATCCTTCATGACCTTAAACTGATTTACTGGTAGTCTGGAAACTCTCTCTTCGAATTATCTTTTATTTTACTTGTCCGATATACAAATAGGTACTATTGAATGACCTAAGTGAAGAGGCAAAAACCTGGACTTAAGATGATTTCAAGAATGGTTAATCAAAATTTTATCACTATGAAATTAGTAGGAAGTTTACTTAAACTCTTCGCCAAAAGAGTCTTCTCCTCCAAATTTAACTGTGGCTTCATCAGCACCCCCAACAGGACTCCTCATAGGTTCTTGGCATCGTGGCAACAGATTATCACTGTACAACGCAGCATCGGTTGCCAGTGAATGACAGGACATTTATGTATTACAAGGCAATTCAGACTTATGATACACCACATATTGTTATGGGATTTTTAGGAGACGAATTCGCATTTCTCGTTACAATCGAGGGTGTAACTTATATTCTATGTATGTTTAAATTCTACTAGTAAATCTCGAATAAGAGCTTAGTCATCCTAGTTTCCTTAAGGCTGATTAATGACTGATTCTAGGGTTTTGCCGTGATTAGGCAAGACAGGGCGCAATGAACTGGAATCGTAAGAAATATCATACCCGTTGTGGCAAAAATTCCACTAACTGTCCTTAACTTGCCTTAAGTGACCAAGGGTAGTTTGAATCTTGTTCAAGAACTACTGAAATAGATGAAAGGTACTCACATAGGATATAAGTACAGAGCATTCAAAGGTATGATAAAGCTTCTCAAAACTTGTAGACGTTTGGCAAAATATAGCGTCTAATTTGACTGTTAGCTAGTCTGCTGTGATAAATTGAGGAGAATGACTGAATTCCGAAATAATCGTCACTTTCACACTTGGTCATATTGGTAGGAGGACTTAAAGGAACGCACCTAGTCCGGAGCCATTGTATGAATGATCATTTCCAGAGAAGGACCGTGAACGTGGTACATTCCCAGACGTTTTACCGGAATCGTAGTCGGCATCGTCAATGAGTCTCGCCATTCTTAGCACCGCACAACAATTCGTCTCGTCTGTTGTGTGGTGCTAAGAATGGCGAGACTCCCTGACGATGCCGACTGAGATGCTGGTGAAAC